TATGCAGTATTTTCAAGTGCTTCTCTTAGAGATCTTTGGTGTTTTTCGAGTCTCATAAATATTTCCAAGAAGGAAGGAAGCTTGGAGGAAGGAAGGAAACTTGCAGATGAAATGCTCTTAATTAGAAAGCAGTTACTGTTGGAGTAATCAAAATTCCTTGAGGATAGTTAGAGCTTTTAGATGGGCTTTTAGTACTGTCTGGCTTGTTATAAAACCTCAGGCAGTGGCTGCTGTGAGCAGTATCACTGGCTCTGTCTGCCTGATCTGTGTGGGTTCTTAGTGAGAGATTACCTCTTGGAGTTGGAAACTCAGCTCTTAATTATTTTTTTTTAGCAGTTTCTGGAAATCCATTTGCCAGCAGCCTTTGGTCTTTCATGATTGATGTGATGATGAGCCTTAATAGACTGAACACCTTCCTGTGGTGGTTGTGGTGTTATCTATACTTCCTGACTTTCGAATCAGTTTGGCTGGGAAGTACATGTTATTTTGTCTTTAGTCTCTTAAGATGGCATTGTCATTTGTAGGTGACTTAGACAGTCGTCACCTCTGAGGTGGAGAGAGAACTTACGTGACAGATACCTCTATCCATTTTGGGATAGTCCTTGTGATTTACGAAGTAAGATTAATTTTTAAAACTCTCTTGCTCCAAAGAAGTACTAACACTGTTTTGCATGAACACCAGACGTTTCTTCAACTGTTTTTCACACGTTAATCATAAAACTCAACGCTGTTGCTACTTTGTGCATGTAAAGGTTGACTTTTGGTTCTTTGTTAGCTTTTCATAGGACACTGCTTAAAGCATCAGTTCAAGGTTCAGGCTTAAAGGCTTAGGTTTAGTGCTCTCCTTTCAAAATGGTTGCAGGATGTGAAGAATAATAGAAGTCCCATATGATTTAGAGATTAAATGGGGTGAGCTCACAGCATATGAGTTTTATAAGTCTGTCTTTACTGAAGTAATCACAGCATTTTAACAGGTTTCTTTTCCTCTTCGAGATAAGGACTGTTACCAGCAGTGGGTCAGAATTGACCATGTTGTTTTTACTGTGTAGCATTTTGATGGACTTTGATCCTTTGCTGCTAAACTGTGAGAGTCAGCTGAAAAACTTGCAGCATCAGTTTCTTTGACTGTCTCCCTTTTATTTTAATTTAGTGATCCACAACAATTGCATAGTATAGATAAAGTGTTGATTTGGTCTTTGTTTTTAAATAAAAAGCAACTGGACTGACTAGCTGCTTCAGCGTTAGTTCAGCATCAGGTTCAACTTTCACCTTAGATCCTAATACACTAAACCTGTATGTAAAACATGAGCCTTTGGGCTGTGCATGATGACTGAAATAAACTATTGAGTTTCCCCTTGTCTAGATTGACAGCTTAGTCTGACTTCAAGTAGTTAGCAGTGAGCAATTGGTGTTTAGCATTTCTGTTGAATTCTGACACTGTCTTTTAAAGTCAGGTTTGGCTTGCGTGCAGTTTCTGCACTATCTGCACCTGAGCATTTTTATATACTCAGATTAGAAACCACTGTTTTGCATAGAAGTCTTGCTCATTTTAATAGGCAGTATGGCTCCTTGTTGTGTTAGTTTCAAGCGCCAACATTTTATTAATACTATTTTTCACAGCTTTCATGTAGGCGAGATGGATTGAAAGTGTTTAGTGTAACTCTGGTTCTTTCCCCTGGAACTAAATTTCAATTAAGAAACAGTCTTGTAGAAGCCAGGCACACTAATGTTTTTTTAAAACAGCACACATTAGAAGGGATTGCAATAGCCCTTTGTGGGTTTGGAGGTGTGTAGCTTCATTCTTCTTCAAAATACATTGATCATTGAGGGGTGGAAGTAAAATACATCATAACAGCCTAAAAGCAGATACATGTTGAATTGTATGATCATGACACTGTGGTCACAACCACTGGATTCCCATACTGCAGGGGGGTGAGCTTTCCACATAACTTTCCATTGCATATGATGGAGCTCGAGTCTCAGTTCTCTTGCCTTTCGAGGGCTGTGCGCCGTGGAATTAAGTGATGAAACTTGTGGAAGTTTTCATTGCTCCCTCAAAACAGGTGCTAAGCTTTCCAAAGTGCAAAGTAGTAGAGATTTGCCCTTCAGCTTGCCATGTGTGAATGAATGTGCTTGGGACAGTGGAATGTTGTGTTCCAGGTATGGAAAACTGTGGTCTATAGAAATGATGTTGATTTAAAAAGATGGTAGTTTTATTTTGATTTCTTATGAAAAACAGCATACTCTAAGGTAAAAATAATTGTAATTCTGTATTACTGTTTACTTCTGTTGGGTTGGTTATTACTTTTTCTTCATTTATTTCTTCACTTGCTTCACAGTATTTTTTTCCCAACCTGAGCCATACTTGGGAACTGCTGGTGTGGAAATCATTTAATAGTTTTGTTGAAATACCATTTAACCTGAATAAATAATGGCCAGGAAGAAAACCAAAAGTAACTTTGTAATGATGTAATACTTAGGTTAGCTGACACTGCCGTTATTCTAATGATACCAGATGGGAGAGAAATGCTGTATTGAGAAGCCTTTATAAAACTTTCCTTTTTACCTTTTTTTATCTGTTTCATTCTTTCCCCTTCTGTGTGGGAGCTGCTTGTGCTGTCGTTTTGGAGCTTTTGGCAATTAACAGTGAAGCAGAGCTGCTGCTTCTTTACCCAGCTTGTAGTTGCCCTCAGGGTTCTGATGAATTCACACCTCTGAAACTCGAATTGTTATACTTAAATGTCTTAAATTTTTGCATACTTAAAATTTGAATTGTCATAGTCTTAAATGAATCTTGCTTAAAGTAACAGATATTAAGGTCTGTCCTTCATAGAGCTCAGCAAGCTCTAGGTAGCAAGCAGCAGTCTGATAAATGGTAGTGTAAGTTAAAACACTAAGTTAGATTGCTATGTGCTAGTTTTATTTAGTGGTTTCAACTGAAGAGAATACTCTTCAGAGTTTGGTTATATTCACCATGGAAATTTGTTGAATAGTTTGTGAAACCAGCTTGGATTTTAAAATACAGAAAGGCATGGATGGATAGAAACCTTGTTTTTCTGGTATTGGAGACTTTACGTCCAAAATAAGCAAAAATCAATTGGTATAGTTGTTTTACTCTACACTTGTAATGCATGTCCAATTATGCATTGCACTTTAAGCTGTATAGTGGTTCTTATATCCAGCCCAGAGAGAGGACTTGAGTAGAACATAGGAGGTGGAACATAGGAAAAATAAATAGCTTCTTGATTCTCCAATGCCATGCAAGTACAGTGTGATTATAAATGCCTTGTTATTTAGAGAAAAAATAAACCAGCAAACTTCTAGGGACAAATGGAAATGCTTGCTAATACATTTGTCACATCTTTCAATCAGCAAATGTTCCTAGTGTAAAATTTGTGTGGGAAATCTTGCTGGGCTTTGAGTCATGAACTCACAAGTATAGATCCAAGTGAAGATACTTGCTGGGTGATTCTGATGACCTTTAGTTCTAAGTGAGACATCTAGGTTGGTGCACCCTACAAAGACTCTGCTATAAAGATTTGAGATTGGCTTTCATTTAGTTCTTGTGAGTATATTTTCTTTGTTATGCTGTTTGCCTTTATTTGTAAGGAAAAAAAGGTTTAGATGTGCTGATGTGTAAGGAATGAGGTTCTGGCTTGGTGTCAGTACATCCATGCTTAAATGTCTTGTCTAGTTTTACTGGTTTGTCAGAAATGCCTCGTGCCTCTGTCACTATTATAAAGTAAATTACCTGCAGTCAAAGCAGGGGAGTGTTTCATGTCATAAATAGCAGGTTTTTTCTTATGATAATAGTAAATGTAGCTTTTAAACTTTTCTCACTAGGGAATACTGTGGAATTCCTATAAACTTTTAAGCTAGTTGCCTTTTACAGGGGCAAAGCTCAGAATATTAGTTTCCTAAGAAGTTTTGTCAGGTTAGTGAAAAATAAAGCTTCAGAACCAGGGTTGGTCTGGGCAATCTCATCTCAAATCTTAGTAAACCTAGAAAGTGTATATTAGTATGGAGTCTTATTCTAGAAATCAGCTCATGGACTAAATGCCCTGCTTGACTAAGCTAATCTACCTGTACCTGTAAAGGTTCGTAAATGTAGCTAAAAATAACATAGTTCATGTGCTTAGTAGAGAATGGTCACTTGCTTTTAGTAGTTTAAGGCTGCTTTATAATTGGAAGATGAGAAATCCCAGAACAGACTTCGTGACTTCAGCGCAACTGGGGTGGGAACTACTCTGTGAATGCTTCGGTTTCTCTAAACTGTTTTGTAGAATTGTTGAAACTAAGAACACATGAGCTTTGCTGCAATACCGAAATAAACAGCATAAGATGTTAAAAGAAACCAAACACTTTCCAGTTTTTGAGGAATTACAAACTCCCTTGTAAGGTTTTGAAGAGTTAATTAATGCTTTTTTTTCCTATAGTGAACAACAGTTGTTGAGAAGGAAGTGTTGTGGTTTGTAATTCCTAAACATATTCTAAGTCACTCTTTTGAGTGAGACACATGGTTTTGTGGTGAGTTGTTCTGAACCTGGTGCAAGATGTTGTTATCCAGTGCCCTTGAAAGTTGGATAACTGTGGTAACCCTAATCAAAGTCAGAGGCTTGTGCTTTAAAACCTGAAGCACAGTGTTACGCTTTATACTCTGACAGCCTCCCAAGAAGTACCAGTGATGCTGATTTCCACATGCAACATGAAAACCTTAAGCTAATGCGTTTCTTAAGTTTGTAGCTAAAGAGGTGTTAAAATGCATCAGTTGTCTTAAGCAGACATTGGATTTTGTTGTAGTAGTGAGGAAAATGGACACAATATGCCCATTCTTCCTCTAGAGTGAGGAGATACAAACTGTTTTGGGAATGTAAATGTGCATATGTGAGAAGTTGTCCCAGACTGAATACAAATGTGAATTTAGCATTGGTCTGAAGTAAGATGTAACAGTTTAAATTTACAAATATATATCTTTCTCTGTTACAGGAGTTGTGTGCAGCATGTTTTTTGGGTGGAACTGGGTGGCCCATGGCTTCTATCTGCTGTTGAATATTTGTGCTCTTGAAGGTAAGGCTTCTGTGTCCCAAACACAAGAAATTTAAATTTGATGTTTGAAGCACAAAGTTGCTTTTTGTCTATGTACTTGTGGGGTGGAGATAGAAAGCAAGGTGTGCTGGGTTAGAGACACCTAGTCTTCTAATGCTAGCCCACCACAACAAAGGGGCACACTTACCCCAGTTTTTCTCTGTGTTGACTTTCTTAACAGAAAATACCTTTATCACAAGAGTAGCCTCAAGTATGTTAACTTCTCCTTCAAAACATCTAAACATTCAATCCCTGACTCTCCTCTCTCTTTCTAAATGTTCCTGTTTATTAATAGAACTTTTCTTTCTTGGTAAATGCTTTTGCAAAGCCTAAGGAACACTACACTGGTTTTGCCCCTTAAGTCTGCTTGGTGGTCCACTAATGCATTTCAGTTTTATACCTGTCAAGTATCTACTTAACTTCCTACTTAGACACACGTAGTGCTTTTGACATTGCCCTAGTGATGTGTCAGCAGTATTGATTGTGGAATGCTATGTAGTTTTCACTAAAGGTGAAATTCTTTCTCTTTTTAGCTTCAGATGGACTTGTGCAGTCATGTGGCCACATCATCCCGGAGTCTCCTGTATTGGCCCTTGGGTCCAATTTCACAGCATTATGCATTTTGAATGAGAGTTGTCTTGACTTTGGCAACATCTACGCTAATCAGATTATCTGGAAAATTAAAAATAGAGTGGTACCTAAAGAGCAGTATCGTGAAATAAACAGAACAGTTTCCAGTGTCACATTTAATGACACTTCTTCACTAGCTACTCCTCTGACATGCAATGTTTTAGCAGATGGACACCTCGAACAGAACATTTATGGAATTACAGTTACAGTAGGCTGTGAGTACCATTTTTTTGTGTGTGGTTTATTCTGGCGTTAAGGAAATCGCTTCTGAGAAACAGGAAAATGTAAGCAGTAGCAAGTGTGCATATCTTGAAACACTTTTATTCCATAGGTTCCTGGATGATTGTATGAAAACATTGTCAGATTACGTGCTAGTAAAGCTGGTAAATACGCGTTGAATAGAGTTTTCTAAAACATAGCAGATACTCTGGCATGTTTCACTGTTGAAATACTAGGAAAACAGAACAGATAAGTGTTCAAGCAGGAAGATTTGAAGTGCAGAATGATAATGTGGATTTAATTGAAATAGATACTGGCAAATTAGCTTTTCCTTATTGCTTCCTTCTGTGTCAGTGCTCAAGGAAATACTTTAAGGCCGTATGTCCTGGTTTCATAGTAATGTTTTGAAATTTTCCTCATTAATGGACTGAGAAATACGTAGTCCATCTGTGTCACTAAAGCTAACCTGGACTGCAGTAAGGATGGAACATACTATTTGGATTACTTTGCTTCTAGACAGGAGAAAATCTAGCTAATTATAAACTTCCCTTGTTCAAGGGTAGTAGTAGCACTTGCACAGTTCTGAGCAAGTGCTCTTTGAGACAAGACTGAGGTCTTGAGAAAGTAACATGAATAACTTAATATGCTGTTGCTTGATTGTTTGGTGTGCTGCTTATAGAATAAGTGTTCAAGTGTCCTAACTATTGTATGATACGGCTGATGAATTATGTTATCTCCTAGTGTTGGCAGAAGGAATTGCAGTGGTTAAATAGTCTGGATGCAAAAGGCTGGCTTGGATTCATAATTTAAACTGGTTTGGTTCTAGCACAAGTTACAAAATGCTTTCACAGAAAAGTAATGTTTTCTGTTTCAACTTCTGAGGAGTAAATATTTTACCAGAAAAGATGTGGGAGACAGGCAAAATACTTGGAAAGGTGAGGACAGATAAATTATTCTAAAGTGATAAACAGCTGTAATTCACATTGAGTCTTGAGATGCATTTGTATTTAAAGTACTGTATTTTGATACTGTTAATTAAAGAAAAAACTGTAAAACAATCGGACTAAAAACAGGCTTGAGAAGAATACAATTATTCATGAAGAAAGCAGTAAGGGTCACAAGGTTGCTCTGTTGAAACTAGCATTCTGCTTGAGAGGAAATAAGATTCTCTAAGTACATTATGCTCTTGTAAATAGGGAAAATCTAGAAGGTAGGAACAAATTTTGTATGCTATAATTTGAGTTTAAGAAGGAAAGAAAATAGTTTTGCTGTGCTGTGAAGAAGTTTCATATACTCTACAGTGCATTGATGAAGGTCCCTGATCTTGTATGTGTTCACAGCTAAAGCATCCTTGTTCCACAGATCACATGGGGCAGAGACCCATCACCATTGCCTTAAGAGCTCAGGTTACTGCAAAGTCACCATATGCCAATCCAACTGTAGTGGTCATTAACCTTTATTCTTCTGTGTGCATTAAAATTTATGTAGATGAGAGGTTGTTAATACTAGGCCACCTGCCTCAGAATGAGAAATCTTTATTGTTCTTCACGGGCAGGTGCTTGTTCCTTGTACAGCCTGCTGTTCGTAGGAACCAAGCAGCTGGTTAAGCTTGTTGGCTTGGCTTGCTGGATGGTATCTAAGACTTTCTGCCACCTCCTTTAGAAATATATTTGATCCAAATACTTCTGATCTACACTGAAATTGTTGTTATAGGACAGTTAGCGTGACTCTTACTGGGTTGAAATGTGTGTATAGATTAATTATTGCTAACTTTTTCTGTACAGTGCCCCCAGAGAAGCCCAAGAACTTAAGTTGCATTGTGCATCAGTTATCGGAATTCACATATAGTATGACTTGTACCTGGGACCCTGGAAGGCATACATTCCTGGATACTCTGTTCAGGTTGAAATACAGATGGTAAGTAGCCCTCTGTAGAATATATCTAAATAATTTTGAAGACTATTTGTAGGCTAAAACAAACTTCTTGAAATTCCTTGGTACTTTAGAAAAGTTCTGGACATGAGTCCAGTTTTCTGGAGCATTGCTGTCTGTTTTGGGGGCAGAAAGAAAGCATTAAAGAAGTTGGCATTCAAACTTATTCTGAGTCAGACTTTAAATTTTGTTGCTGCACTTGTTTTGAAGTAACAGCAATCTCATATGTTTTTCATTCTTCAAATACATGATTATTGTGGCTTGAGTACAATACACCTAATAATTAGGTGGCTGTACCCAAATTATATATTTTACATTTTTCTGAGTTGACTGTTGTATCTCATTCTAAACAAGCAGATGTCCCTGCTGATTGCAGAAGGATCATACTAGATGACCTTTAAAGGTCCTTTCTAACCGAAACCATTCTATGATTGTAAGTAGATAAACCAACATATAATGACTGAATTTTGTGAGGTATTATCTACTCTGCACTTCGTAAGAATTGTGAACAAGTGCTGTTCTAAGTTAACCCTAACACGAAGGCTTCAGCAAAGTGTTTCTCCTGTGAAAGCAAATTAAGTATTCTTTAAACTCGCCAGATGGGCTCTTATAGTTTAAAACAGAGTGAAGAGAATTTTTGCTCTGCTGTGGAAGCAGAAATGACAGCCTATAGCTTTCCTCCTACCCCATTCTGCAGAAGTGTTTTGGTAACAGGTGTAGTGGAAAGTATTCACAGATAGAAAACCTTAATGCTTTGCAAGTCTCCTAATGCCCCTAGACCTATCTGCTGTTAGTGTAGCAGAAGATGGTGAACAAAACTTGGGTTGCACCTCTAACAGTGTACTCTTGAAGGGTTTGCAAGTAGTACAGACTGCATCTTTGAATGCATGAATATGCTTCTAGTTACCAGCCATGTTGCTTTTGTTTAATCATATCAGTTCTTGATCTTTATTTTTTTAAGCTAAGTCAGTTTTTTATACAACTTTAATTACAATTCTGTGGCTTGTGCTTTTGAAGGTATGTGACTGGAAGTCCAAGGGATTTTATTCTGGTTTCAGTTGTAATAGTCATGCATCTGTGGCTGAACAAGCCATTCTCATCTCTTTTTTCTTCCCACCCCTCTGCTTACAGAGATAAGGCAGAGGGGTGGCAGAGGGGAAATGTACAAGATAAGCTGATCAATATATGTTAAGGTAGTCCCTAAAGGAAACCAAACTTACTGCTTTATACCTTGCTTTTCCTTGTCTTTTATTTAGGTCGCAGGAGGAGTTTCCTGACTGTATACCGAAAGGTGTAAATAATTCTTGTACAGTTCCTGATCCTCAGTTCTTTGTTAACCTGGAGGTCTGGGTAGAAGCAGCAAATGCTCTTGGGAAAGCTGAATCTGATCCTGTTGTACTTGATCCCATTGAGATTGGTAACTATATGCCCCTTAAAGCTTTAGTGGTACATTACTGCTGCTTCTGTGCATGTTGCTGTATTAGTGTGTTCATGTTTATTCACTATAAAACTTAACACTGCAAAAATATTGTTGACTAAAACTTTAACTCAGCTGGGCAAAGGTAGGGATGGTGAGAGTTTTCATCACAAGTCAGATAGCAAGCTCATGTTGAGTCATCTGCTTTAGAAAGTAATGTGAACTAGCAGCCATTGGAGCTTCCAAAAAGCTGTAAGAGTAGTGGTGTAACATAGTGTACCAGCTCCTAAAGGCTTGGTGAAATACAGCTGTCAGGTTGACTCTTAACTTCTTCTCTTCTAGTTAAACCACTGTCTCCACACAATTTATCAGTTGATTCAGGAGTACTTCCTACTGTTCTGAAGCTTTCCTGGGAGAATAGGATTTCAGTCCCTATGATGGAGCTGAAATTCAATATTCGCTATAGGATCGTTGGTGACACGAAGTGGATGCAGGTAATGACACTAATGGCCCTTGCCATGCTCTGCTGTAACCCAGCCATTTGTCAAACTGGAGAAGTTCCCTTGCTGTTGGAATTCAGGGCATTCCCTTTGTTCCCTTATGCCTTACCATCTAAGGTAGTTTTTCCAGCCTGTTCATGAAGATTGCGATCTCAGTAATTTTTGGCCCAATCTAGAGTACAGTGACCTTCTCTTACCTTTGTGGACTTCTTTTGCTGTTCTCCCCATCACATTGCAGTGTGTTTAATTTGAATTTTGTTCTGCACATGCAGCATATAGAAGAATCATGAACTTTCAATTTCCTATGCATGTGCAGAACTACTGATCTAAATGTAATTTAAAGCTTGGGCAAACACAACCATAATTGGATGCTTTTTTGAACTTGCTGTACCTGCTGTTGTGGTACAACATCCCCATGCAGTGCTACAGGCTGTGGGCAGTGGCTGGAAAGCTGCCTGGGGAAAAAGGACCTGGGGGTGCTGGTTTACAGCAGCTGAACATGAGCCAGCAGTGAGCCCAGGTGGCCAAGGCGACCAGTGGCATCTTGGACTTTATCAGCAGTAGTGTGGCCAGCAGGACCAGAGCAGTGATCATCCCCCTGTACTGGGCATTGGTGAGGCCACACCTTGAATCCTGTGTTTAGTTTACTACAAGAAAGACATTGAGGTCCTGGAACATGTCCAGAGAAGTGCAAGGGAGCTGGTGAAGGTTCTGGAGCACAAGTGTTACAAGGAGCACCTGAGGAAGCTGTGGATGTTTAGCCAAGAGAAACAGAGGCTCAGGGGAGACCTTAGAGCTTTTTACAGCTACATGAAAGTGCATGGCGAGGTGGGTGTTGGTCTCTTCTCCCAGGTAACAAGTGACAGGACAAGAGGAAGTGGCCTCAAGTGGTGTCAGGGGAGGTTTAAATTGAATATGAGGAAAACTTCCTTCGCGGGAAGTGTTGTCAAGTATTGGGCCAGGCTGCCCAGGCAAGTGATAAAGTCACCGTCCATGGAAGTCCTCAGCAAATGTTTAGGTGTGGCACTTAGAGACACGGTTCAGTGGTGGACTTGGCATCATTAGGTACATGGCTGGACTCAGTGGTCTTTTCCAATGTAAATGATTATATAATCCAGTACAATGTGGCTGCCCTGCATACGTGCTTTAAGTGTGATGCAGTCAAGGAACGGGAGAGTAAGGAATATGCCTTATCTGTAGTGTAGTATAACATGTTCCTGTCATCAAGAGCTGCGGGTTTTTTTTCCTCTACATCAGTCTCTGGATGTACATTTAATAGCTTCTTGGGTTTTCGTTACTTAAGCATTCTCTCAGAGCAGCAGTATTCCAGCAATGCTCTCTTTTTGTGAGATCTTCCCATTTTTTGTTTCAGTACAGAAGCCCAAAAGTACTCTGAATTCCATGACTTGCTGCATGGAAGACTGCTTCTTTCTTTAGCAAAATAGGGTGTTAGGAGCAGATAGCATAACAGCTGCTTGTGACTAATGTGGCTTTAGATGCAGAGGATTTTCATTAAGGTCACCTGTATTGATATTTTAAAGAGCACTGGTCTGCACAACTTGGTCTGCAACTCCAGGACCTGTCGCTGTGTTGTCCTTGTAGGGCAATAGGGCAAGTCCTTTTTACCTCTGTTGCTCTTTTAACAGGGGCAGAAGACCATGGACTTAGTAACTTCTAGATCAGCTGAGCTTGCTTAGCTATGGTAAAGTTTTACTCTTGACAATTCTTTGCCCTCAAAATTAACCTGTTAAGTGTCCTGCATTTGTGTTTAATCTGCAGTCATTCCTCTTGCAGGACTCCTCACTATAAAAACCCCTTATTTGCAAGTGAAATAACGTGTGACAGTCAGTGTGTATGTGGGTACCTACATGGACCTATTATCTACGTCACTCCTCTATTTCTGTACAAATGCAGTAAGAATATTTTCCCGCATTCAGTTGCTCACCTAAGATAGACAAAAGAGCTTATGAAAACAAACTAATTTATTAGCAAAAATATAAGCTACTGTAAAAATTTTTCAACTTCAGTTAAGGAACACTGTTCTGTATTGGTGAAAGGAATGATCCTGGACTCTTTAGCTTTGCAGGGAGGCTTCTAGCACACATATTTTGCAGTCAATAATCCAGCAGATAAGCTGGCAAAGTTCTGAAATGTAAGGCATGATGTTACAGATCAGTAAGTAGCAGAATTATATGGGAAGGAAGGAGAGAGATACAAGAGAATAAAAAAAAAAACAAAACAGATCGCCCTGAGGTAGCAGCTTAACTGTTCTAGTATATGTGTGGTGTTATACTTGGTAAAGGCACACAGCTCTGAACCTTTATCAAACAGTGGTTGAGAATTGAAGCTTTTGGAAGTAAGAGGGAAGGAAAACTGTTTGTATTGGGCGTGTATGCAGTGGAGAGCCCTCTTGGATGACAGCTGTAGCAGCACAGAACTCAGATTTACAGTGTTTTGGACAGTGCCTTTAAAGTCTTTCTTCCATTTGCAGGTTCCTCCTGATGATACAGCTTCCACAAGAACTTCATTCAGTCTTCAAGGGCTCAGACCCCACACAGAGTATGTCTTTTCCATTCGTTGCATGAAGAAAGATGGAGCGGGCTACTGGAGTGACTGGAGTGAAGAAAAAACTGGGTCCACCCCTGAAGATAGTAAGTTAATACATGAAAGTAGGTCACTGGCTTTGAAACTGTGTGAGTGCTCAGCAATTTGGCAATAACCAGCTGGAATTGCATATCCTCACTTGAGCTGTTTGATTATACATGCAACAAAGCTCTCATGAGTTACTTGCAGCACTGACTGGCTTGACCCATGCATTCCGTGGAGCATGAGAATAGCTTCCCATAAAGCTAGTCTAGGGGTGCTCTATGGTAACAGCTGGAATGGGAAATAGGGAAAAAGAGCTTTCTTCACAGAAAACTTCTTCTCAGAGTCTTCTAGAAGAGATGTGGGTTTTTTGCATGGTTTCTGTTCTGAAGGTAATCCTCTGTAACAGAATTTATTCTGCCTGTTCAAAGGGGTGTTCTTCGTAAGACCAACTGTGCCTTCATTTATGAACAACTTGATGTTTAGGAGGCCAGTAGATGAAGTCATAAGTGAGCAAGCAGCAGTATTTATGAAACAGAAGGTTTTAGTCATACAGAATGCGTAGACCTCTTCAAAAACTCAGTAAATCTGTGATACAAACTAACGTGTGTATGGGAAATGTTTAGCTTCTTATGCACCGTGACATCTGAATAACACATTCTGGTTTACTTCTAACTTCTCCCGAGGTATTATGCATCTATAATACTTTTTTGTTTGTTAGTCACTTCCAGCTGTCTCTGTACTACCTGTTCCCTGTAGTTTACAACATTCTACACACAGTAGTCAGAAATCCTGCTGCTCATTGATTTGTGTTACTGTGGGAGGCATTGAGAAAGACTGCCATCTATAAAACTCATCTCAGCTTCAGCAAGATTGAGTTTGTGTGGGAAATGGTTTTATTTTGGTTATAATTAGTCATGAAGTTCTCTGTGTCCTTACAGTTCCTTCCTGCAATTCCTTCTTGTTGATATGATATAATCATTGGAGTTGTTGTTTTATAGATCTGAATTGAAATATTTTGTTCCTTTCAATGGGGATGAACCACTGAATTGCTACTATCATAATTTAGTGAGGAAAACTTCTTCCCAGCATCAGCTGTTTGGGAGGAGTGTTTGGATCATGTTTAGTCTTGCACAAAATGACTTTGCAAGCAGGATATATACAACTTCAATGTATAAACTGTTTACTGCATGCTACACACAAAAGATAGCAAACCACTAGGCTAGATTGAAACCTAAAGTGCACAGCCTTGTTTAAAAAAAACTGCTTTAGAGCATCAGTGAAGTGTCAGCCTTCACTCACTGCTCTGTGGAACAACTCATCAGCATTGTGAAGCTGCTGCCATTGCACCAAATCTGTTTACACTACAACCAGCTCACTGGCTTGGCTGGCCTTTCAGCTGCTTGCAGTGCTTCAGTCAGCTCTTAGGACAGTGTCTGTTTCCATTGAACTGTATGTTCTGCAGGTGTGTTGCATCACCCTGGGCACATTCATATTGTGCCACTCAGTGGCACCAAGACTGTACTCTGTGTCTCCAAAGATCTCTGCCCACTGCATTCCACACCATGTTTTTTACCTTCATTGGTTGCTTCAGGTTGCTCATGAGCACATGTATTGCTTGAAATGTACCATGGCATTAAAGTAACTACAACTTGCAGTGTTACAAGTTCAGTAGACTTCTCACTCATTGAAGTCATTGCAATATTTCCCCACTGGAGCGGTTCTTTTGCAAGTTTGTTCTGAAGTACAGAAGCTGTACCTTCTGCCACTGAACCTCAGTAGCAATTAGTTGAGTATGTTTAGCGTTTTCTGTTAGTGATGCCTGTTTGGTTTGGCTGTTTTGTTTCGCAGCATTTTGTGATTTAGCAGTAGTTGCAAGCAATTGTAAACTCAGTCTAAAGCTGCACAGCAGTAACTGAGCAGTAATTGTTGGATCCCTGACATTAAAATCACACCCATGCGTTTGTTACTGTACAAAAGATCCTGTTCTCAAATAGCGGGTTTTTTATGTTTTTCCATTAACAGAGCAAAAATACGTGCAGCATATACACAAACACAACCTAGACCTATGCATTTGGCCCTTTAATACATAAAACCCCCAGACTTTTGTGAAGAATGTATCTTTCTGTGGTCTGTTTTCACTTTGTCATTTATCTGATTAACCCACTTAAGCAGAACAGGAACTAATTCAACATCTTTAATAGGTGTTTGAAATGTTTTTGAGTCTGTATTGGCATGAGAACATCCTGCAGTAATGTCTTGTTTCTTGCTAAATGTAAAATGAACTAATTTCACTGTGCAATAAGCTGTTGAATTCCTGTGCTATTAGTTGTGATACATTGCAAATGTAAATACTGGCTATTTTCTACTGGTAGAACAGGATTTTAACTTATGGTTATAACTAGGCTTCCTAATGGTAGCGGGATAGTCACACTTTTTTTATATTGCTTGCTGATCGGATAGCACTTTGTTGTGGTAAGTTGGCAGTAAAATAATTTCCTATCCTCAGTTCACTTGTGGATGGTTTTAGAGATGTGGTCACCTGTTGCAAATGCTTAGACAGTCGAAAATTTATCGGATAGTGGGATAATTTCAGTTGGAAAGAAGCTTATGAGGTCCCTAGTTCTTGGCAAGTGTCAGGCTTAGACAGGGGACTCCAGATTGCAGTTTTGGCAAACTATACCAAACCTTTATTAATGTATTTTTACTTTTTTACTGTAAAGTTGCCTATTGCAAAGACTAAGCAAAATAAGCAGACACTGGTCACTTGAGTTACTTGTACCATTATTTTTGCTCTCAGATTAGAAAACTGACTTCTAGATACTGTGCTTTGTCTGAGTCTGTTAGACCCACATCCCTGAAGGTTCCACATCTGCTTGCCTTCTGGATTCAAAGATCTGGTGTTTGTCTCAGTAGCAAGCTACCAAGACACAGGTGTATTTATCACTACTGTTTTGAGGAAGGCATACTTAGGTATTTCCATATGGTTTTATCCAGGTGTTCAGTATTGTAACTAATCAAGTGAAGTTTCAATGGATTCCTTAAATGTAAATGCACAAATGCAGAATTATAGTGTTAAAGAGTAATGCAAGCATTCTGGCAAATTTTAAACCTTTGAGCAGTTGTTTTAATATATAGTCATTATCCAGAAACATCTAACTTTTACCTCCAAATGGTGACTGTAGCCAATGGTCTTCATATCCAGCAGAGCAGGTTTGTTGCATAGCTGTGTATGTTACAATAATACATATTGTGATTCCTGGGGGTTCTAGAATTAGTAAATTGCCCCAAAAGGGATTCCATTTGAAGTGTGTTTGGTTTCCTTTGGAATCATCAGTAGTAGCAGCATTGTGTTTCGCTTGCTGATTTCTGGTTTGAAAGGGAATTAAATGATGTGGGGGTTTTAGATCTTGTTTTTCCAGAAGCATGGTAGTTCTTATCAGTTAGAAACTCTTCTAATTCTGGGGGTGTGAGGAATGAAGCTACTTTAGTTTGGCCATGTTTTCATTGCTTTTCTGCTCTGATAACCTGCAGGATTGGCTTTGTTGCTGGCCTGTGCTGATCCTACACATATGGAGCCAGTGAATGGACCTTCTGGTTGTGTGCTTAATATCCAGTAGATATTGTTCTTGCCTCCAGTACTGCAGATAACTTTGTGACACCTGTTTAGCTGCTGTGTCAACCTGATTGATTTTCCTTTTTTTCCCCTGCTTGCACCTTCCTGGTCTTCTTTCTGTAACATCTGTGTGTTCCATAGTTCGTCCAAGGCATGCTCCCTTCTGAACAGTCTGTTCACTACATCAGTTCACATCAGTTCACATCTCACAGCAATGTTAAACCAATACTGGTTCCATTGTTAACACATGGCTTTATGCCTGGAGCTTAACTGCACAGGATCAGAAATCCTTCCTTACTGATCCTGATTGTATTCTCAGTAATGAGCTTTGTTTGAAATAATCTGTCATCTTAGATTGGAGAAGTATGAAAGTTATAGTAGTTTTTGTTTAAACAAAGTGGAATTTGTGTGCATATCAGCATTGCTTCAGTTCTGTGCCAAATCTACTTTCTCTGGGAGAGAGACTGTAAAATAGTATTTCAGTATTGTAGTCACTGCTTTTCAACTCCCAGTGATAGTATGGCTTTGTTTTCTGTGGTTTCTGTCTCAGCCCGAGCAATGAGGATTGGGACTGCCTACCTATTTTGATTGTGTTCCTGTTGCAAAAATGCTACTAATATTGATTAAGTACCCATGCCTTTTTTTATCCTCGGAACAAAGGTGTTACAGGAACAAATGAACATGAGGCAGGTCATGTTACATTTGTGATGTGTGTTAGGCAAGATATACAATTGCTTCCATTTCATGTGAATCAGAGTACTCAAACAAGATGAAAAGCTCCCTTTGCCTCAATTCCTAGTTATCCTTCCCTCCTAATGTAAAGCATAAGAAACAAGGTGCACGCCATGTACTTGATACTGTGGGTTTTTTAAGGTAAAACAGCCAAAACCTCATAATGATTAATATACAAAATGCAGTAAAAGAACTTCCAGAAAAAACTGTCTTACAAGGTTAAAAATGTAAATATATTGTAAGATCAGCTTTCTCTTGGGGCTAAGGCCCTCACAAAGGTTTGGCTACTTTTTACTGCTTTGTGTGGTGTAATACTTTGGTTCATTTGGAATGGAATTTGTAGTGGAAATACCACTGGAATTTTATATAGTACAGGTGCCAAAATGCACTGTAGTATTGCACTGAAGTACTGCCATTCTGTTACTGGTTTTAGCACCAAGAAAGTAGGAAACTTGGGGAGTTCTGACAGGAGAAATTTGTCACCTTATTAATTTTTGTGCACTTTCCTGTTTTTAAGGTGACTTGAAGGATAGGGACAGTGTTGGAGCTGCAGACCGTAGCAGGGTTTGCAGTGCACACAAGTGCAGGGCTGTGCTGCTGGGTGCAGCCTGCATGTTATAGGTTCGATCTTGCCTCACTCAGCATTGTCACCTTTAGTCTAATTTTGGAGGTGCTCAGCACAGCAACTTATATTTGTTTTGATACTGTACACTTAGAACAGAACTGGTGTTTGGTCACCCCATCAGGAATTTTTTACATCTGGTGTTCCACTGAATGTGCAATTATTTTCATTGGGAAAGTGAGGAAACTCTTTTCTAACATGCTTTTATTTAAAAAAAGAAAGCATATAATGACAATAAAAGGGTGAATTCAAACAGGTTAAATAAAAATATTTCTACTATTAAGCATTGTTTCTTTCATCAGAACCATCTAAAGGACCAGCTGTATGGAGGATCATTGATGCATCTCCCTCACCAGCTTCCTGGACTGTGCATCTGATGTGGAAGGTAAAGCAACATGATAAGCTGCAGAAATTGAGCATTGTTTTAAAAACACGAGGTTTTAGGCAGAAAAATTTACCTCAACAACCTTGAGTAGATAGTTGTGATAGTACTGGTTTTATTGATATGAAAAATGACTTTAGTGTTCTTGTTATGATAGTTATGAAAAATTAAAAGTACAAATGTCAAGGCCATCAGTTAACCAACACAGATCTGTCATCTAGAATATACAGAATACACTTTCAGATTCCAGACTTGCTGTCTTTTAGCAATCCGTAGAACTGGAACTTCCACTTGAACAAAGCAAACCTTCACATTATGCCTTCTCCTGTAACCTAAAACTTTGGTAGCACTGTTAAATCCGTTAAGCCTCGAGATGTTCCAGAGCCAAGATTATTAAGTACAGCACTGCACATTTGCATGCAGTAGGCTGCTGTGTCCAATTACATGATTAGTCCATCTGAGAACAGCAGTGTAATTATGTTCAGTCCCCATCCCCTGCTTTCTTTTGGTCCATAAATTGTGTCATATTTGGTCTAGCTGTCTCTTTATTACTACATCTTTCCTATTTCTAGGTGGCTTGTGTGAAGTTACATGTAAATGATATGGCATCATTTTCTGATGTAACTCTACACCACATGCCACTTCTGACAACATTGTCAGGGTGTGATTCTTAGGGTGGTCTTTTTGCAAGGCCAGGAGTTGGACTGCAATGATCCTTATGGGTCCCTTCCAGCTCAGGATGTTCTGTGAGTCTAACATTGTTTACTTAGAATTGAAATTGTTTAGCTTTAGTGATGCTTTGCAATTTCAATAACTTTCTCATAAATTTTCTGATAACTCATACTGTTACATGGTATTTTTCTGTGTTACTAGGTGACACAAGTATTTTTCCCACGTGTAATAAAAGTTGTGTTTTGCTGAAAGTTTGACACAGCTTAGGATGTGAGATTTTAGGTCATTGTCTCGTAAAGTCACACAAAATGCAGGTTTTAACAACACATTTTGCAATCTTTACAGAGTAGCTCTTATTAAACTATTAGGTAGGACTGTGATCCAAGGAAAAGTGTTAAAACCAGACATAACTTTAGAAGTTACATGCTTTACAGCAGTGGACACAAGTTATTTATGCTTTTCTTAAATGCACAGCTGTTTGGTCTGCGTAACTTTTCTTGTTCTCAGATTTTTAAATTCTGCATCAAAGACCGTAAGGGTCATATCGTATTTGTTCAGTATCAGTTTAATCTAAGCTGTGTTTCTGGCAGGCACTGGAGCCACTTGAAGCCAATGGAGTAATCTTGCATTATGAAGTGACTGTCAGATCTAAATCATCTCCCTCCATTCCACCGGAGAAATACAGTGTCACTACCACCAACCTTAACCTAAAGCTGCGAAATGGAACTTATGAAGTGACTGTGATTGCCTGTAACAGAGCTGGGGCATCCCCTCCATCAGTTTTACTTATCCCAGCAAGTAATTCAAAAGGTTAGTGTCCTAGTAATGTCTCTGTCAAATGCGTCTGCATAGCTTTTGGTATAAGAAATCTTCAGTGTTTTAAAATGCTACCTTTTATGTAGACACAGAATTAATGTATTACTGAATGTATCTACAGTCTCATGCCTGTATAACTGTGCCACCACCTGTATACCAGGGAACATGTGAATTTGTGTACTCACAGGGTCGTTTGAAGCTATATGTAGTGTTTTGCTGGGGTTTGGTCCTTAGAGCTGCTGGGCATTGTATTTCCTGTTGTTTTTTCTCTTAGCTTAGCAGGCATTTTTTGTGTCCTTCTTGAAATCAAAGGGCTGAGGAAGCATCCTTTACTGCATGTATATACCATTTTACCATTGATCTTCCTTTAGCTTCCTGATGTCTCTCTAAACCCTTGCTTTGCTGTCCCAGTCTCACTCTCCTACATTTTCAGTATCTTGCGTGGTTGTATTGTCATCTGCTTCCACTGTTTCCATACAGTTTGGATTTCTTTTTATCATGTTCTTTTCATTGTGCAGTAACAGTAACCACTGACTGGTTTCTCCTGATTTCCAGCCTCTCTTAGACAATCCAAACACTTGCCAGGACAGGAAGGAAAAACAAATACATGGACAGATGTAGATTTTATTATAAACAGCAAGGGAGAGCCACTGGTTCTAAAAGTTAGATGAAGTAGTTAAGGATATGATTCAAACAAAGTATCATTGCAGCTACAGGTACTGAATAAGGTACTGAGTGTGACTGATTCTTCTAAATTCTCATTCTGAGTTTGATTTCTCTCTGAAATACTCTTTCCTTTGGAAGAAAGAAACACAGTGTCTGTTTACAGTGCAATGAGTCATCGTACTGTGTTTGAGAACAGACAATCTGAGTCTAATTCCCAGTTTTTAAATAGCCTAATACAGCTTATTTTGATACAGAGATTCAGACCAACTTTCAGAAAGTGGCTTTTACATTCATTTAGGTTCTGTCAGACTACCACCATTACCAGAACCCAAAAGTATCAATATTTGCTAGAACAGCTCTTGTCATGAATGTCTAGTGGAAGAACTGTCAATATTCATGACTTACCTGTTTTCTTTCATTACAGCTCCTGTGAAGAATCTTAAAACACTACCTAAATATGGCAAGCTGTGGGTGGGGTGGACAGCTCCCAACAGTTACGTTGTTAAATATGTGATCGAATGGTGTCTGATGTCCAGCAGCTCAGACTGCACCATAGAATGGCAGATTGAACCAGGAAACATTCAAGGAATATACTTAAAAGGTATTTATCTCATAAGTCTACAAATAGTTTGTAGGACATTCTAAAAACTTACTGAGTATTCTCATTGTGAGGAACATCCTTGTGCTGATGAGTTTTATGGTAGGACCCTGGCTTAATGCTGAGGGTTTCTGTTAGCTTATCATGTACACGGAAGTATCTGTATATTTGCCAATCTCTTCAATATCTTTATTAATGATTTAGAT